TTTGGGATTTAGGGTTTGGGATTTGGGATTTGGGGTTTGGGATTTGGAACTTGGGATTTGAGATTTGGGATTTTGAACTTGGGATTTGAGATTTGGGATTTTGAACTTGGGATTTGGGACTTGGATTTTGGATGGGATTTGGGATAGTGTTTGGGATTTGGCGACTTGGGATTTGGGATAGTGTTTGGGATTTGGAATAGTGTATGGGATTTGGGATTTGGGATAGTGTTTGAGATTTGTTGACTTGGGATTTGGAATTGGGATTTGTCTGGTTTTACAACATGGGATTTTTGATGACTCAATAAATCCCATTTGTCCAGGTTTGTTCATGGACAAATCCCAAATCCCAAGTGTTTGTCCGGCAAGTATACACTAGTGATAACTAAAGCCGTGTCCGGTTTTGGGTTACTTTTTTTGATTCATTTAAGGCTAGTGATTTATAAAAATATCAATAATACGATTCATACAATATGATGACTTTATACGACTTCTTTTGTTTTCGCAAATCGCGTAATAACGCGTAAATTTAATACCAAATTTTATTTTCGAAAAATCGCATATATCTCAAAAATTCAGATACGAAATTATCTTATAATAAAAACTGTTTCTCGCAGAATATTACAGCAGGAAAATTTGTTGTCAAACGCGAACTTTTTTTATATATAAGTGCCCACGTGATCTGACACGTAATTTTAATTATTCGAAGCGTAGCGAAAAACCAACTTTTAATTATGGGTATAGTTGTATAGTCGGAAATATAAAAGAAGTTATGTATGATTTAAAAAAGACAAACGTATGACATAAATTTACGTATAATAATCTATTATAGATTAATATCTACAGATAGTCAAGGTTATACTTCATATTAGCGTGTTAGGATTTATGATTATGGTATAGGTTTATATGAATAGTTCAAGTGTTAGCGTTAGTACGATCAACTATTATGCGCGTGAATATAATAAACGCGTTATACTAAATTTATTAACCTGACTATACTACTTTACATAAGACTCCAACATTATTGCCTTTTTTCGGAAATCACGTATCAGAAACTGTTGCATAAAAATCTATTTAAAAACAAATTGTTTTCTTTTTTATTAAGGAATTGCTAAATGTATGTAATTACACAAGTAATCTTTAAAGCATATATACTCTTATGGATAAAAAAAAAAAGACTAATAATTATTTCCTCATATATCAATAACGAGATCTAACTAACTAAATTCATACTTATTATCAATGAGAAAACTAATTACAATTATTTGTGTGCATAAATGAATTATAATCACTCGTCTATAAACTAATCTATATATTTCCAAAAAAAGTCTATTAATAAGAAAAAAAAAAATATATATACCGGTATATGTATATTACAAAAAAAAAAAAAAAAAAAAGGAAAGAAAAGAAAAAATAATATCCTATGCCACGTCCAAGCTTTATTTAAATAATAAATCCTATAGAAAATACTATACCATCTCCATAGCCATAACCGTCCCATATTCTTCCTCTGGCTTTTGATTATGATAATGCTTACGAAATTCATCAATCCAAAATACTGATGAAGTTATAACCAAAAGTCCAAAAATATCATCAAGTCCTAATGGCTCGGTTTGAAAAACAGCTTGGAAAAATGGTAAATAAATTACTAATAATTGTCCAAGAAGTGAAAATGCTACTGCTAAATTAAACATTGGATTCGAAAATATTCCTAATTTAAAAATAGATTTCTTTTCTGAACGACAACTTAAAGCATTAAACATATCAAAGAATACAAAGCACGTGAATGTCTAGATAAAAATCAGTTATTAAAACATTAATCAATGAAAACGGAAATAAAAACTCAACACTATTAATACAGTAAATATCGTACCATTGTTGTGTCTCTTGCTGTAACAATACCGTCCCGCATTTCAGTAATATAGGTAAATAAGGTACCAGCAACGATAATTGCAGAGCAAGTGAGTACACGCATTATAAGTGCTGGTGTAAGTATTGGTGCATTCTTCTTTCGTGGAGGTTGTCTCATTACACTTTCATCTACTGGTTCGACACCGAGAGATTGTGCAGGGGGACCATCCATTAATATATCTAAATTATATTTATATTTATTAAAATTTATTATATTATTAAAACTTATTTATTAAGATAAAGTTTTGATTAATAAATTTATCAGAATTTTTCTTACTTATCCATAAAATTTGCATTGCATTTAAAGGATTTGGTAATCCAGATACAGTAGACATAGTAATCAACGTTAATGCCGCTATACTTGTACTTAATTGAAAGGTTAAAAAGTTTCTGATATTATAAAATATAGATTTTCCTGTTTAAAAATTTCACATTGTTAAAATTAATTAATTTATGGTATAATTAAACTATCTTGAAAATATTTTTTAAAATAAACAAATAATTCTTTAATACCTTCTTTTACAGCATCCAATATAGTTACAAATTCATCATTAACTAAAATAATATCGGCAGCTTCTCGGGAGACATCAGATCCACTTTTACCCATAGATATACCAATATCGGCAATTTTCAATGCAGGTGCATCATTTACTTTAAGAGAAATAATGTAGCATAAATATAATATTTAGGTTAAATTTTTCAAGTATTTCAAGTATACATATTTCAAGTATACATATTCCAAGTGTCAAAAGAATAGCCTACCACCGTCTCCTGTCATTGCTACAATTGAACCATTTGATTGAAAGGCTTGTATTATAGCCATTTTATGTTTGGGGGCAGTTCTTGCAAAAACAGTTATTGAGCCAATAACCGCCTTTAAATCATCACTTGACATAGCTTCA